ATATATACACCAGAGAACAACAGAAATTCTACCACCAGGAGAAATTTTCATGAACACCTTCGAAATGTAATAAACGAGAGCCCAAATGATGAATATATAATTATTATGGGTAATTTTAACTCCAATATTTCAAGGATACAGTTCCAGAAATAAAATAGCGATATAATGAAAATATAAGAAATGACAACGGAGACCTTTTAACGCATAAAAGAAATGTATATTATTAATACATTTTTCCCTCGCAAAGAAAAATATAAATACACTTTTTAGCACTGGCATTTCTTCTGTAGCCATGAACATTTCTACTGTTACAATACCTGAGTAAGTTCCAGATGTTGGTCGTCGTCGTACAGATCCTGGCCATGTAATCTCCACTTTTCTGCTATATCTTATCTCTATTTATTTGCAGGGTTCCCGTATATTTGTTAACAGCACATGTTCTGGCCCAAAAGTTCTTTGTCTGTCTCAATCGTCTTACTGTCTTAACCCTCAACTTTAAGTCTAGTACTTTTATTTCTTCGTTGGGGTTCCTGAGACTAGTTTGTTTGCCTTTTGTCTGTATTTCAATTAAACAAAGTCTATTTTTATAGTTTATTCGTCTTCCGGGTTTGGACCGTGTCATTTGTGAGTGACCCAAAAGTGGGTTCATCTTGACGTTTCGCTACAATTGTATGTAGCTTCTTCAGGAGAACAAAGAAAAAGAAAACAAAAGACAGGAAGATGGGTAGTTAGCAACGGTAAACTCAGTTACTCAACGCAACCAGAGGCGAATACTAACTACCAAGATTACCCCTTACCCTTACCCTTAAACACCCCCCCTTAAAACCAAAAGTCTGGTTCCGCTACGTTGATGATACATTTATCATCTGGCCCCATGGTCAACATGCCCTTTCTCCCTTCCTAGATCATCTTAACTCACAACATCCGAGTATAAAATTCACAATGGAAGTAGAAAATAATCGGTCCCTTCCCTTTCTCGATGTGTTAGTCACCTCCAAGCCCAATGGCCGATTGGGTTACTCTGTTTATAGAAAAAAGACACACGAATCGTTACCTACATGCTTCATCACACCACCATCCTGCCCAAAGAATTCTGTGATCAACTCTCTCATCCATCGGGCCATTTCGATTTCTGAACCCGACAACCTTAGAGAAGAACTTGGCCATCTGCAAAAAACCCTTGTCGCCAACAGTTACTCACAACCGACATCTACACCCCCCTTTACTCCCTAGGACGACAAATTCAGAATTTTCGGGTAATACTCCTGTGGTTTTTCTTCCGTATATTCGAAATGTCACTGATAGGATTGGCAAAATTCTTCGCAAAAGAAGGTATCAGGACTACTTTTCGACCACCCAAGAAAATCTCACAATATCTACCCTCTCCTAAGGACCCATTACCGCCCCTATCTTCCTGTGGTGTCTATTCCATTCCTTGTTCATGTGGACATGTGTATATTGGCGAAACTGGTCGTTCCGTCAAAACTCGGATTCAAGAGCATCAAAGATGCATTCGATCAGGTCTTTTCTCACATTCTGCAGTTGCAGAACACTGCCAAGAAACCGGTCATTCCATATTGTTCGAAAAAACCCATATTATTTCTAAGAGCCCCTTCTTTTATTCCAGGAAAATCCGCGAATCTTTAGAGATCCGAAAAAATCCCCATAATATCAATCGAGAGGAAGGATACTACTTGTCTCCCATCTGGAATCTCAGTCTAGAGCCGCCGTCCGACCCGCTACCACGATGCAGGCACATGATTGGCCAGCGCGCGCTTCTTGACGTTCGCGCCACGAAGTGTGCCGATACGTCCCGACACGACAGGCACACCGCGACTATAAATAGAGCGGTAGCGGAGTAATCGTCGGATTCACTCCCCGCCTCTCGACGCGTTAGTGTTCTGAGCTGTTGGACGTGAATCCCTGTCCTGGTATTTGGTTTTCACCTCTGGCTGCGTTGGGTAGTTGAGTTACTGTGACCAAATGCCCATCTTGGTAGTTAGTATTCGCCTCTGGTTGCGTTGAGTAACTGAGTTACCGTTGCTAACTACCCATCTTCCTGTCTTTTGTTTTCTTTTTCTTGTTCTCCTGAAGAAGCTACATACAATTGTAGCGAAACGTCGAGATGAACCCACTTTTGGGACTCACAAATGACACGGTCCAAACCCGGAAGACGAATAAAACTATAATTCTGACTCTGGCCGTGGAAGCCTACGATTTCAAAGTCTATTTTATGAAATGTTTTCCCGGATTCATTGAGCATTGTTTTATAGCCTTTTATATTTCTCAGAATATATTATTAAGCAAGATGTCACAGTTTTTTATCTCTGTTTGGAGACGCCGATTATATCTAGCTTCTCAGTCTCTCCACCTTTATTGTATGCTTGTTTTAGTATATTTTATATATAAATATATTATTGTCTTATTAACATATCTTCCTGATTGTGATCATACAAACTACACCGTTCGTATAACGAGCCCTAGTTAAAATGTAATCGATCTGATTTTTCGATCGGTCTCCATGACATTTCCAAGTATAAATGTTGTACTTAAATTGGGTATTCATAAAAACCATTGTTATTAATTAACAAATTTAACATATTTCAATTAAGTAGTCGTTCGTTCTTTTAACTGTGTTGAATTTTCCAAGTATATCCTCTTGAAGTCAGATATTTTGTGTGTTGTTGCGGACTATTGAATTAAAGTGACCTGCCACTTTTTTGTATAAGTTTTTAATTATTATTTTATATTTATTTTGCTTCAACCACGTCAAGTCAGCTACGTATTTAGATTCTCCTAGAAGTTATTATAATATTTTTAGAATGTAGTAATAAAGTCTTTCAACTGAGTATATTGGACAGTCAATCAAAATGTGCTTCAATGTCACTTTACATTCACAAACAAAACACACTGGTTCCTCTTCTCTTTAACAAGTATTCGTGTGTTGTAAAAGTGTATCCTAATCTGAGACGTGTTATTAGAACTTGATGGTGTCGCTTTGAAGGCCAAAAGTTTCATGGAAGGACAGAAGATTTTATTTCTATCAATTTAGCGGTACTTCTATTCCATTGGTTTTGCCAAACATCGTGCACTTTTGCTATTAACCCTCGATCGGGCGCTTGTGTATTTTGTACACGTCTAATAGAAAAAGTCGTCTAAAAATAGAAGTGTCGTCAATCTGGCGATATCGTCGCGTCTATTCGTCCAGAAGAGATCTGTCGTTCGAATAGTTAAGTAGTAATTTTTGTTGCAGCTGAGTTTGTGAGAATCCTTAGAAATACGAGAGTGTGACGGTTTTGTGTACATAAAACACGGCGTGCCTTCTAGGGTAAGTATTTTATCCATTAATTATTTTATTTTAAGTAGAGTTGTAATCGAAATTAAAGTCAAATTAACTTTAGTTTTACTTTATTTTAGATTGAACAAGATATTGTAACATAATTGAGAAGGAATATAACGGCTACGCTGAGAGAATTTCATGTAAGAATTTAGTTGCATTAGTTGCAGGGCTAGAAAGAAGTTTTTAACTGAGGCTGAATTATATAAAATTCTTAATGAAGACCCAGAAACAACAACTAGTGAAATAGAATATTCCAACGAATCTGAGACAGATGAAGAAATAATACACCATAATGACCACAATTCTGATCTTATCAAGAATAGAATGACCACGACAGAGCCAGTAACTTCGAGGATAATACTGCAGTAAGTACGAATTCTTTCGAATATTTTCAAGGTAAAGATAAAAAAACTGCATGGCGTAAGACACCGCTGTCGTCGCAATCAAAAATTAAAAAGAAAAATATTATCAAAATACTTCCAGGACCAAAGGCAGTGGCTTCAAAAGTGACCTCAGAACTTTCAGCTTTTGAATCTCAGAACATACATCAAAAAGTAAAATAATGGCGTTACTGGGAGTGCTTTACCTCCTAGGCACTAAAAAGGCTAACCATACTAACGCAGTTGAACTTTGGACATCTGATGGAACAGGTATAGAAATTCTTAGAGCTGTAATGAGTTACAAAAGATTTTTATTTTTGTTACGTTCAACGCGCTTTGATGACAAAACCACAAGACATGAACGGAAAATATATGACAAACTTGCACCAATTAGAAAAATGTTGGTCGCATTTGTTAGTAACTGTAAAAATTCCTATAATCTTGGTGAATTTGTTACAATAGACGAAAAACTAGAGGGATTCAGAGGACGTTGTAGTTTCATCCAGTATTTACCAAATAAATCAGCAAAATACGGTATCAAGCTGTTCATTTTGGGTGGTGCACAAACTTACTCTGTTGGAAATTTAGAGGTTTATTGTGGACGGCAACCTGAGTGGCCTTATGCTGTATCAAACTCTCCCATGATATTGTAGATAGGCTTATTGAATATATAAAAGGTTCAAATCGCAATTTGACAACCGATAATTGGTATACCAGTTATCCTTTAGCTTTTTCCATTCTGAAAAATAAAATAACTACAATTGGCACTTTGACAAAAAACAAAAGGGAAATACCTATTGAATTTTTACCCCAAAAACAAAAAGAAGTGGGAATGTCACTCTTTGGATTCCAGAAAAATGTCACTTTGGTTTCATTTGTTCCAAAAAAAAGTAAGTCGGTCATATTTTTATCCACGATGCATGACACTGCCACCGTAGACGTCGAAATTAAAAAACCAGAAATTATTCTGGATTATAATGCCACAAAAGGCGGTGTGGATACTATTGACCAAATGTGTTGTTTTGTGCCAATAAATCCCAAAATATGTCGCCGAATTTTTCTAAAGAATTTAAGCTTGCGTTTAATAAAAGTACATCTTTCCGAAAGAGCGATAATGCGATATCTTCCTCAGGATATTCTTCTTCTTCTAGTTCCATGGCCATTATCGATCGTTGGATATCATGTTGGCTACCATATTCGCTATCGTGACTTTATTGACAGCAGATCAGCCTTAGATTTTTCAGCCATGATGTTCCTCGTCTACCAGGACCACGATTACCTTGGATCTTTCCCTGAATGATCAGATGTAAAAGATCATATTTTTCAGAGTGTCTCATAATGTGACCGAAGTATTCCAGCTTGCGTTTCTTTATTATATTGATCTTGATATTATATTGATCAGCATATTCAAGGTTTTCTAATGAAATATAAATCATGTAAAGAACCTACTAGAACAGAAGTGCAAAGGTCTAGAAAACGTGGACGTTGTGCAATATGTCCAGGCTCAAAAAATTCCAGCCCAACAGTTAGATGTGGGCTATGTAGAATATTTGTATGTAAAATGTATTCAGAAACCACAATTACCTGCGTAAAATGTAAGAACAATGAACGGCAGCAATCAGAAGAAATCGAGTGAAGTAACCCGTAGGTACATGTTTTATGTTTATTATTTTATGTAACAATAAACTATTTTTGTAAATCGTGGTTGTCATTTTGATAAAACGCACTAAATTTGGTAAAATCAACTAAAATGTGTTTTGTGTACAAAATACACAGCGCGCCCGGTTATGAAACGGTAGTCGGCGCGCCTGCTGTAGGGTTAAGTAAGGTTTTAAATCTAAACGCACCGTTAGATTTTCCACTGATGCGGCTGTATTGGTTATTGCGGCATTAACTAGACTATCTGCCTTTTCGTTACTATCTATTTTATCGTGTGACGGGACCCAGAGAAACTATACTGTCAAATTGTTTTGGTATATATGGTATAAAATAACTTAATCTGCTGTAATGTTAGATGAGAAGGATAAATCTGGGAAATTGATGTCAGTCAACTGATTGTATATAAGAGATTTGGGATTTTTTTTTTTTCATAAAAGTTAGGGCCCTAATGATGGATTTTAATTTTTGTTTGCAGTTTCTGTGGTGTGCATTCTAGTTTAAAGTGTAAGAAAACCACTTTTTATACTTTAAAAAATGACCTTCTTGTTAAGAGTAAAGCAATAAAAATTTATTTTTTGTTGAATGTGATCTGAATTCGTCGGAAACTACTTGAAATCGCCCACCTTGAAGATACCTCTTCATAAACATTTGAATTTCTCTTTTTATGGGCAATTTTTAGCGATTTTCGTCAATTTCACGCATCGCCTAAAAATTTATTGTGTTCATAATTATAGCCCTGTGGACACTTAAAGAAGAAGACGCGGTATTACCTTATAACACGAGAGCGAACTGAACCAACGTCCATCGGGTAGATAGAGGACATCATACCTCGAGGCGGACATTTGTTCTGCATTCCTTAAAACTTGTCTCTCGCTGATATACTATTCATTCACTTATAAAGAATAACAAAATAGATATAATAAAATGTATAAAGTAAATGTTTACTGGGAGCGTCACGAGGTGCTAAGAAAACGCCAAAGACGAGAGCTATGATTATCGTAGTGTAATTGTGTCAATTGTGGTAATTGTCGTTATCAGTATTTATTAACGAACACGATTACGGTAAAATATATGAACTAAATTCTTTAGAATAATCACCGTCATTTAACTATGTGCACGGATCGTGCTTCCCATATCGATAATTATTATGGTGTATAAAGACTTCCTTCCACACGTTACATAATAAGAAATATTGAGTGGAATTTCATCTAAATTGCTTATTACTTTACTTAGAAAAAAATGATGCGATTTGTTGATTAATTTAATTTATTGTTGTTGAAATTTTCCGTGTGCCTGTTGAGAGGTTTTACATTAAGTAGCACTGCACTAAAATTTTCCGAGAGATTTTTACCCTCTACGACGAAAATAAAACAAAGAATAACTGTATGTAGGTAAAGAAATAATAAATAAGACTTACAATCAATTTAATTTAACTTTCAGACGACCGGTTTCGCTTTCTACAATATGCAAAGCATCCTCAGGTCTCGATACAAAATTAAACAAATGCTGAAATGATAAAAAACCCATATTAGGGTGTTGTCTAATAACGATAAACACAGTAGATGTTGTAAATTACAATAATTATGCCAATATTACATGTCTGTGGTTTTATTTAAAAGAGTAAGTTGAATAAAAAGTATAAAAGTTTTTAAAGTTTAAACAGACAAGGCAAGGCCCACAAATTGTTATAAAATAGTCTATTAGATTGTAATAAATTAATAAATGAGCAAATAAATAAATAAACATTACTTACATGCCGTACTCTATTAATTGATGGATGGTAGAACATGGTTGAAACTACTATGTATTGTTGAATGGAGAACTCAATTCTGTTATTGCAGTTGTTTGACAGTAAACGGGAAGTTCTTGAGGAGATAGATTTGATTCAATGAAGAAGAGATATGTGTGTGATTGTTTTATGAAGGTGACAATTTTATGACAATGAATAGGTTTAGATGTAAAAATTGTGTGGGTGTGAAATTATTTTCCACTTGTAGTTATCAAATTACTTTGATAAAGTTCTATTGGCAATTAGTAAATTATTGAAAAGTCACGTAATTAAAATATTATTAGAATAAAAACAATTAAGGACAATTTAAACACACTAAAACAGAAAACACTTAGAAGGGACAACACTTAATAGAACTTTATCAAAGTAATTTGATAACTACAAGTGGAAAATAATTGCACACCCACACAATTTTTACATCTAAACTTATTCATTGTCATAAAACTGTCACCTTCATAAAACAATCACTCAATAAATAACACACATTTCATAAATATATCTCTCGAATAAGTATAAATAACTTTTAATAATACAATGGTATATTACATCACTTTCATTTAACAAACAATCACACACATATCTCTTCTACATTGGATCAAATCTATCTTCTCAAGAACTTTCCGTTTACTGTCAAACAACTGCAATAACAGAATTGAGTTCTCCATTCAACAATACATAGTAGTTTCAACCATGTTCTACCATCCATAAATTAATAGAGTACCTGCATGTAAGTAATGTTTATTTATTTATTTGCTCATTTATTAATTTATTACAATTTAATAGACTATTTTATAACAATTTATGGGCCTTACCTTGTCTGTTTAAACTTTAAAACTTTTATACTTTTTATTCAACTTACTCTTTTAAATAAAACCACAGACATGTAATATTGGCATAATTATTGTAATTTACAACATCTACGGTGTTTATCGTTATTAGACAACACCCTAATATGGGTTTTTTATCATTTCAGCATTTGTTTAACTTTGTATCGAGACCTGAGGATGCTTTGCATACTGTAGAAAGCGAAACCGGTCATCTGATAGTTAAATTAAATTGATTGTGAGTAAGTCTTATTTATTATTTCTTTACCTATTTGAAATGGACTCACACAAGCAAAACATTCATGATTTGAATAACTGTATGTGTTTCCATCTGATTCATACTCTGTGCCATACCAGTTTTGGTTTTAATGATGTAAAATCTGCTATTGCCTTTGAAAGTGTAGGAGATCAAGCACGTTAAACTTACGACTGAAACCAACCCAAAGCTAAACATGTGAAAAAGTAAGAGATTAAGATTTTAGAACATTAAAAGATATATAAAAAATCCATAAAAACTCCAAATAATTAAAAATAAGATTGTTAATTATAAATTGGCTATTTTAGGTATATAAGACACATATTGGAGAAGTACAGATTGTTTTAAAAGAGCTGAAGGTAATGCAGTCTTCTTTTCAGATACAGGGATCTTCTACATATTATCCAGGTATATGACCTGGCATCAGTGTAATACGAAAAATATGTAGATGGATGCTATGGATATTCAAACTAACACAATAACTCCATACCAAATCGAAATCGAGTCATCAAGCTGGAGTATGTTTATATAAAAAGTAGAAGTAGCTGAATTAAGTAGTACCTACTGCAAAGATTATCGGAAATTTTTAATGTGACAAAAAACGAAAGAGAATTTGAATATGGCGTAGCCCAGAAAAATCAGAAAAATATCAAAGTGAATTTTATTTTAATTACGTCAAGATGGTAATTATCATCAATGTCACATACCTTAAAAACCCTGCTAAAATCATCCATAATAAAATACACGCTAAGCTGAAGATGGATATTAGTGATTTCTAATTTGGATTTCGGAATGGAGTGGGCACAAGAGAGGCACTATTTTCTTTTAACGTGCTGACTCAAAGATGTTTGGATGTTAATCACTATGTTTATGCATGCTTTATAGACTACAATAAAGCATTCGAAAAGGTTACATAACATAACCGACAACATAACCGACTTATAGTAGGACTCAAAAACAAGAATCCGGATGTAAGGGATGTAAGATTGATATCAAATTTATACTACAACCAACGATCAAATGTGAAAATTGGAAGAGAAGTGTCAGAAGAAGTGGAAATAAGGAGAGGAGTCAGGCAAGGTTGTATACTGTCGCCGATATTGTTTAATGCTTATTTTGAAGAAATCGTACAAGAAACTTTGGTAAACGAGACAGTCGGCATAAAAGTGAACGGAAGTTTAATTAACAACATTAGGTATGCCGACGATACAGTCATAATAGCCGACAACTTGAAAGAATAATGAACAAAATATTAAGATGTAGTAGAGAATACCGACTTTTTTAACATAAAAAAAACCAAATTCATGAAAATTAGCAAGAACAACAATACAAACGAAATATTAACAGTAGGCGGCCAGAAGATGCAGAGAATAAAAAGATATACTTACTTGGGAACGATAATCACAAAAAATAACGATTAGAATGCAGAAATAAGAGTCAGAATTGAAAAAGCACGTGCCAACTTTGTGAAAATGAAAAATATACTATGCATCAAAGATCTGACATTGGCCCTCAGAATAAGGCTAACAAATGCTATGTACACAGTGTACTCTACTATGAAGCTAAATCATAAACATTAAACCGAAATACAATACGAAGCCGAATACCGGCACGATGAAGAAGGAAATCATCAACCATCAATTGCAAAATGTATCCTGGTGCAGATTATGGAAATGATCTTTCAAGTTTATCACTACAACTGATATTAAATATTGTTGAGTAAGAAACCTACCTTACTCCTACGAAACCTAAGAAAATTGTTGAGTAAAAATTAGGAGCGGTAGAATGGCTAACAGAACAACAAACCCAGAAGTCAGGAGAGCAGCAATCTGCTAACCATGGTCATGAAGCCATTACAAGAATACAGAAGCAAATTTTTAGGTGATTTAAAAATGACCCATTGAAGTCTATCATAGAATGTCCATATCCTTATTGTAATAAAACTCTGAAAAGTGCCTACTGGATTCTAACAATTTTGTTGGAACTTCTAGGAATATGAACAGATCTGTCAACTAATCCTACTGTCACGTCCTCGAAGGCACGTTATGTCACGAAAGCATTGAGTGCTTGGCATACAATGTTGTGCAGCTGACGAGAGAGGATAAAAGGCGAGTTTTTGGTGCCTTAAAACTGGTACATATCGGCTAAGGGATTAATCCCCGAAACACAATTTTGTCCCTAACTTTGGAGTTTAGAGCAATGCGTTAGATGTTATCTTAAAATGAACAAGGTATTACAAATAATTGTATCAAAATAGGAAAGAAAAAAAAAACGAATTATATTATTATCAAAAATAAAGAAGGGCCAAGGAAATGAGAAAGTAAAAAAAATATCCACATAAGCATGGTATTGTAAAAATACACCAAAGATGTGAAGTTTTATATCTGAGAGTTTTATATTTTATTTTTCTTATTGATGAATACACAGATATACATCTCAAAGAGCCATTTTACACCAGAAAACCATCATCTATTATTTTATCGCAAGAAAAAAAATCTAAAACTATCCTTTCAATTATCCGATCCTCGATTAGCTATATAAGATTGATATGCACTTCGAAATCTTTAATAAATCAATATTCAAATTGATAAATAATAATATAATTATTAAACTTTGAGTGGTGTAATATAATTATTGTAAAACAACTATCAAAATGTACTGACAACGTTTGTGCCGTCCAACATTTTCATACAAAAAAAAAGGACATGAACGTTTCCTGGTCACTGCTAATAACCATGTTATAGACGTTACGACGTTAACGACTACAATTCGATAGAACCTTTGGTACTGAATGAAGATTATTCCATAATTTATTCATACACAAATAAAACTCAAGACGATAACAATGAGGCATAAGTCGCGCGCACCCAATACTTATCCCACGTTCATTCACAATACCACACGTGGTGGATGGTACTGAGACAGCAGGACCGGGTTTTTCTTTTCTTTCTTTGCGGTGAAGAAAATGTTGGTTTGTATTTGTGATATATCTCGTCATTGTACATTCTACCTTTTAATATACCAAAACTGAATTACATTAATGCTGTTCTGAAGCTATTTTCTTGTGGCATTGTAAATTAATTACTATTAAACTGGGAATAAGCCACAATTAAAGATAAAAATACATTTATTGACGTTTCAATTTCCACTTCGGAAATCGTTCTCAAAATACAAACAGTAAATTTTTACAAACAGTAAATTTACTGTTTGTATTTTGAGAACGATTTCCGAAGTGGAAATTGAAACGTCAATAAATGTATTTTTATCTTTAATTGTGGCTTATTCCCAGTTTAATAGTAATTTACATTAATGCTGTTTTAAAAGCCAACTACCAAGTCACAAACCAGAAGAATATAGAATACTGTGCCAAAGAGATTTGAAAAAAGCGCAAAATCTAAAACAAATGTAAATTCATCTTCTACTAGTTCAATGACCGTTATCGATCGTTGGATATTCGCTATCGTGATTTTATTGACAGCAGCTCGAAATAACGACGTAGTTGATTTTCCATAACATTGCCTTAGATTTTTCAGCCATGATGTTCTTCTTCTACCAGGACCTCGGTTATCTTGCATCTTTCCCTGAATGATCAGATGTTAAAGATCATATTTTTTAGGGTGTCTCATAATCTGACCAAAGTATTCCAACTTTTATTTCTTTATTACATTTACCAATTGTATTGTTTGGTTCAGCCGTCTAAGGACTTCCTCATTTTTCAGTAGTCGTCTTATTTTCCAGCTTATTTTCAGTAGTCGTCTGTATACCCACATTTCAAAGGCTGTCAAGCGTTTAAGGATAGCCTTAGTTAAAGTCCACGTTTCCACTGCATACAGCAGGACAGGAAAGATGTAGCAAGATGTCATTCGAACTCTAAGATCAATGCTAAGATCGTGACTGCAAAGTATGTTTCTCATTTTGACAAAGGCAGCTCGGGCTTGTTCTATTCGAATTTAATTTTTGCGGTTGGAGCCCAGCTCTAAATGATATTACTGCCGAGATACATGAGTTGCTCTACTCTGTTCAGTGTGGCATCTCCGATTTTTATACCTTCATCTTGTATATAATTTTGTTTGCGAACTATCATATATTTAGTTTTCTTAACGTTGAGTTTTAATCCATACTGATCACAAGTCTGTTGTATTTTGTTCATTAGATTTTAAAGTTTTTCTCCTGAATTAGCAAGCATTAAGGTATCGTCGGCATATTTAATACTGTTGACGGTTACTCCATTCACAATAATACCTTCGGTTGTCTCCATTAAGGCTTCCTTAAATATTTCCTCCGAATATAAGTTAAAAAGTAAAGGCGACAATATACAGCCTTGTTTCACTCCTCTTTTTATATTTATATCCAATCCAGCTGTTTCCAATTTTTTTATCATTTTGTTATGTCAGACTTTGTTAAAAGCCTTTTCAAAATCGATTGCACAAACGTACATATTTTGATTTATATCTCTGCATCTCTGTACTAGCACCTGTATTCTAAACAAAGCTTCTCTTGTACCCAAGCCACTCCTAAACCCAAATTAAGTATTGCTAATTCTGTCCTCTGACAGCGTGTAAATGCTGCTGTGTATTACTCGCAGAAAGATCTTCAAAACATGACTCATTAGACTTATTGTCCGATATGCACCGCATGTTTTTGGACGATGTTTCTTAGGTATTGTGACAAATGTCGACTTTAACCAATCAGTTGGTAATATCCCAGTGTCATAAATTCTGTTAAAGAGATTACACAGAGATTTAATTCCATTTTCTCCCAAAAACACACCAAAACATAATTGAGAAATCGTTACTAACATGATTGAGAGGAAAAGAAAGTCTGCTCTAAAATATTTTTAGACGTAGCTAAGGCATTCGAATTATGGCATGAAGGTTTACTGTATAAACTGAAATCCTTTAAGCCTAGACAATATTCAGAAATTCTTAAGTCATATATATCTGATAGATACTTCAGAATCAAACAAGAAGACGTTTACACAGATTTAAAAGAAATTAAAGCAGGAGTCCCTCAAGGAAGTGTATAAGGCCCGGTCCTTTACCTATTATACACATGCGCCATACCTGAACTAGAAAATGATGCTAGGGCCACATTTGCAGATGATACTGCCATTCTAGCAGTAGGTGAAGAAGCAGCAGAAAAATTACAGTTGTCAAAAAAACATTTAAGGAAACATTATTGAGTATTCAGACTTGATGTCTAAAACAGTAATAGTTTTCTTAAGCGTGAGCTTCTTTTCTAGAGTAGGACAATTCCAAGAATGAAGTACATTTTGTCGAGAAATGCGAACTTAAGTTTAAAATAAAAAAGTAGTCTCGAATCGTTGTCATACCTTTGAGCAAAAGTATTCGGCACTATCCCACATCCAGACATCGAGCGAACATTTCCTTTGATAAAGTGTCCCAATTTCTGCGGGTATTTATCACGGCTGACAGCCGAGCCGGGAGTAATAAACTGGCATATCTGTGACGGTTCGATGTACATTGATTTATTCGCAATTCGGTGAAATATTTCTGAGATCGCGTCACGTTCAAAACATGCTCTCTTTTCCTTCCTACTATGTGCCTCAGAAACAGAGGCGTCACAAATGAGTATCATAGCGCCAAGCTATTTTTACAGAAAATATAAAACCGCTATTTCATTTTCCAATTTATTGGGTTTGATCATTACCATTTAGTTTATTTTGAAAAAGAAAACATGAAGTTGTTCAAGACCTACAAATAAAAAGAGAGATAAAACCATAAACCCCATATATTTATGGAAAAGTTCTTTCAAAAATAAAAATAAGGATACCGTATAGATGAAGACTTTTGGTCAGATAGAAAAAGAAAATCAAAAACGTTTCTACTCTCCAGAATAAGAGCTCTAAGGTGTTATCGTATATAATCTTGCTTTATTGGACACTAAAGAAAGTACACATCAAAGCAATTGGATAGCTCGTAAGAATAGAAAGCATATCCATCCAGGATATTCTAAGAAGTGGTCTGCATATCTACATAGAAGAAAAGCTCAAGGCCGTTTGTTGTACAGACTTTCATGGTCCAAGCCTCTAATCCATATCATTTGACGTAACATTTAAAAAATTTAAGCTGGTTGTTATTTTAAGGCTGCGTCTCTTAACGGTCTTTTTTCGGGAAAGTTGCTCTTCTTTTTATTTTTAAGTCTGCAGTTACATCTAGTTTTATGTTATCTAGTAGCCCAAGTATTAATATCTTGTCACCTTGTTTTATTTTCTTTTCGTATATACCTAGTTAAGTTTGCCAATAAAATGTAGTTTCAGCCTTTAATCATAATTAAGTCGTCGTCTTCTCGCAGCACTACAAACCTGGATGGGTCTTAGCTGACTGCACAGCTTGCTTTCATCTTGAACAGTCGTCCATTATAGTTGTGTCAGTGGGTAGCCCATTGTTCTTAGATCTGACCATATATTGTTTCTGCATCTCATTCGTGGATCTCATAAGGGTCTTCTTCCTGTGGGGGCTTCCTCCCATAATAACTTGGCAAGGCGGTTATTGGGAGTCTATGGACATGGCCAGCCCATCTTAGACGTTGGGATTTAATCTCTTGGACTATGTCGCTCGCTCTATACATCTGCTTGACCTCAGCATTTGTTCTCATTCAGTATTGGTTGCTATTAATGTCGTGATAAGGTCCAAAGATTCTTCTGAGGATTTTCCTCCCAAAACATCATTTTGAGAGGAGTTTTTATTCAGTTAACAGTATAAAAACGTTTTATTTCAGTTTCTTTGGTTAGGGTCCACGTCTCACACCCATACATGAGCACCGGTCTAATCACCGTTTTATATATTCTAGTCTTTGATGTTCGTGTTATGATTTTAGATTTAATAGTATTGTGGAGGCTATACATACATCTGTTCGCTACCTGAATTCTTTCTTTAATCTCTTCCGCGATGATTCCCTGATTTGGTCGTATTAATTTTTAATCCGAGATAGTCGAGTTTGCTGGTCAATCTGTTAAGTAATAGGTCGTCTGCGCTATCTGCTAACACCGCTGTGTCGTTGAAAGTCGTGTTCTGAATAGTCATCAAATGGATCAATAGTACAATTGTTTCCCTTATTCACAGTTAACAGATAGTTATATTATTATATTTATAACAATGGTCATAGCCACATGGTGACTAATTAGGCGAAACAGAGCCTGCATATCGTCATTGTCTAGTGGTTTTGCATTTAGCACCTGGTATTTTTTGTTATACTGTAGCCTATGAGCTTAATGTAAATTGTGTATAGTGTAATGTGTGTATGTTGTCATCTTTTTTGTACTCAGTAAAGTTGGATTCATTATATTTAAAGAGAATCGCTTATTATCTCCGAACAACTACTTCGTGGTACTTCGTCTGAGTAACGATCGGAAAATGATTTTTAAAATCATGATTTATCAGATCAAAAATCAAGAAAACATTCACATAGAAAATGCTCTACAGGTTCGTCTTCTTATTAACACTTTCTGCATAGAGGTGTTTCTACTAGCCCCTGTGTGTAAATGTATTTGCTTAGTTGACAATGACCAGTTAAAAAATCAACTGCCAAGCGTAGGTTTTTCCTGGTCATTCCTAAGCAATTCTTCGATGCTGACTTTTCAAGTTTACTTAGTGTTACTCTATCAAGTCTACATAATTGCATTTCTTCCCGTCTTTGACGATTTGCGTATGGAAGTGACATTTGACAATTTTGATTGTTGTAGTTGACCAACCAAAAAGATCCTCAGGTCCTAAAAGTCTTAGGTCAGCTTATATAAGTAGCTTATTTATTTTCCGTTGATTAAAGAGCCAGGTTTCACTGCCCTCAGTAACAACTGGACCAATAATCATTGACTTACAAAATGTTAGTTAAGCTTGTCTTGTTTCCAACCGTTATTCGCGCTGAAATATTTTTGTGATTACCGCTCCCAAATACTCCTTTTTCTTCTTCAGATGCAAATCCACTAATGGATGTTACGATCACATTTTCCATTAATTCTCTATTGCTTGCAATATGCATCAAGATTGTATGTCGTTAATCACTGTCCATTGCCTTATGTTTCGGAGCCAGGACATTTTCTTGCGTCCCATTCCTCTCTTGCCTTCAAGTTTACCCTCGATTATAAGTTGGAGGAACTGGTATTTTTCATTTCGCATGATGTGACCTATATACGCCGTTTTCCTTTTCTTAATAGTTTCGAAAAGTTGGCGTTTTTGGTTTATTCTTTTAAGGACCTCTATATTTGTGATTGTGCGATAGAGCCACAAATACTCCTGGGGAACTCTATTACTATTTCGAAATTTTAATCATTAGGAATTAAGCTACTCTAAGATTATCCAGCACGAAGGATCAATGTGTTAGCAGGAAATATTGGAAATAGCTGGTTAATTAATTATAGCAGCAAAAAATAAAATAAAATGTTCTTCCCTATATTTTTTCCTTCGTAGGTATGTAGTGGCGTCATGTAATTTGTTTGAATATTTCTTTCCAATTATCTCTCTCCTGTGCATATTGTTTTGCTTGGGAAAATGGGTAACCAGTCATGTCCTTTATTTGGTCCGGCCATCGTACTGGAGATTTTCCTCTAGATCTTTTACCTACTTCGTTACTTTTAACTATCATTCACTCCATGCCTTCTCTTTTTTAGTTATATGTCCAAATTTTTAGTTTTTATGTTGAATTCTGCTTCTTCTTCTTCTCGTGCCACTCCTAGCGGAGATTGGAAATCATCATTACCACTGCGACTTTGTTAGCAGCGCGCCTAAAAAGTTCAATCGAACTACACCCGAACCATTCATGTAGATTACGAAGCCACGATATTTTTCTTCTTCCCACACTTCTTTTGCCCTTAATTTTGCCCTGCATGATGTTTCTTAAAAGTTCGTACTTTTCACCTCTCACAATGTGCCCCAAGTATTCCATCTCTCTAGTTTTTATCTCATTTAGAATTTCGCATCTTTTGTCTAAAGTTTGGAGTACTTGCGTGTTAGTGACGCGGTCCATCCATGATATTCTGAGAATGCGCCTATAGCACCACATCTCGAAAGCCTCAATGTTTTTTATGGTCAACTGTTTTAGTGTCCAAGCCTCAACTCCATATAACAGGGTAGAAAAAACATAACACCGCAGCATTCGTATTCGTAACTTTATATTGATATCACGATTGCAAAAGAGTTTGCGCATTCTATTAAAGACTGATCTAGCGATTTCTATTCTACATCTAATCTCTTTTGTTTGATTAGTATCGTCTGTGATCCAAGCACCTAGATATTTATATCAGGGCACACGCTCAATCGTTGTATTGTCTATTACAAGATTAGCTCTGATGTTCTTTGATTTCGTGATTACCATAAATTTAGTTTTTTTCAAATTAATTTTCAAGCCGTAACTGTTACAGTATATTGTTCTGAA